ATGGGAAAAACAATCACACTACCTGAGCTACCTTGGCATAACATAACCTCACCTGCCTGTACCAGGCCCACCAACTTTCTTCCCATCTGTGCCTGACCTGTTTCATTTCACTGTAAATCTTTTTGACGTCCCTGGTAATCTTGGCCCAGGAGATATCAAATCTCATCTTCCTGTTGTTCAGTTCAATTAAGTATCTTATTGTTTTTAACTAGACAACAAGACACACAAAGATTAATAATGCATAAACTTTTTATCCTAAGAAAGTCCAGATTTACCCAGGCTTATCCACTCCATGAATGATAACATCCTCACTTTCTGAGTTACTGTGGTTTTCTTTTAATTTTTTTTATGCTTTTAATTTTTCATGCTGCACCCATCTGGGTCTCTGTGATTCTTTTATCTGGAACGTGCATCTTGACCCCACAAATGTTCACTAGGTTGGTGATTCCTTGCCATTCCTTGGAAGTCCTGTGGCTCAGACCTCTACTTCATTCCTGCTTGGTTTATTCACAGCATAGTTCTCAGATACTGTTACCAGATCTGTCTTAGAAAAGCATGGCTTTATTTGACTGTCTTAAGTTAGTGGCTGTCCCAACAAGAGTCATCACCTTCCTGAGCCTTCAGGATTAACTCTTTTTTAAAAACAAATAATTTTATTTATTTTTTGTATTTATGTGATACCAAAGAATTGAACCCAGGGCCTCATGCATGCTAAGCAAGCACTCTACCACTAAGCCACATTCCTTACCCAGGATTAACTCTTGATGATGTTTGCCTCAGTGGACTGTACTTGGTCCAAGTGACTGAATTTCCTCACGAAGAGAGACTTTCTAGAATCCTATCGCTTCATCCACTACCATGAAAACATCTTTTATGTGTGTTGTACATATACGAGGCCCCATTAACAGCATGGAAGATTGTTTCCTCTTATGAAGACTCAGAAAAGGTGCTTTGTAAGCAGAGGTGAGATGAGATAGAGATGGAAAACCAATGTATTGTAAGTAATAATCCAGAGTGGAAAAAGATTTCAGCATTTGGGGATGACCTGTGAAGAATTAGAATGAAATATGAAGAATAGCCCTCAATTTCACTTTGGATTATAGGTATCTACCTTAGGTGATGCCAGGGATAGGGATGAAGGTGGGGAATTGGAGGTTTGATTTGACTGAGGAAGATCACCATGACCTGAGTGCAATGAAGTTACTTGCTCTTAGATGTGTTAATGACTACCATGTTTGACTGACATATTGATTTCAAAAGATCTGAAGTGTAATCCCTTCACTGAGGTGTGAGGTCACCAGTTTTAAGCATTTATATTACTGTCATGATTTTTTTTTTTTGGTGCCACTCTTTGGGCTTGAACTCAGGGCCTGGGCACTATACCTGAGCTTTTTTGCTCAAGGCAGATACTTTACAACTTGACCCACAGCTATACTTCTAGCCTTTTAGTGGTTATTGGCGATGAGTACCCTGGGGACTTTCCTGCTTGGATTAGCTTCAAACTGTTATTCTCAGACCTTGGCCTCCTGAGTATCTAAGATTAGAACTGGCACCCAGCTCTGTCCTGATTTTTTTTAAGGGTGCTATCCTGGAGCTTGAGCTCAAGGCCTGGGCACTGTCCCTGAACTCTGTTTGCTCAGGTTAATGCTCTAACACTTGAGCCACAGCTCTACTTCTGCTGTTTGGTGGTTAATTGAAGATTAGAATCTCACAAACTTTTCTATCCTGGCTGGCTTCCAACTACAATCTTCAGATCTCAGCTTCCTAAGTAGCTAGAATTATAGGTGTGAGCACCAGTACCTTGCTGTGTCTTGATTCTTAAAGCTTGTATAGAAGCACACTTTTGCAGTATTGAGATCTATCCTGAGTTGTCTCTTTAAGAAGGACTTAACAGAATGAAGAGGACCCAGAAGAGGACAATTGGGATAGTAAAAGAATGAAGACTCTGATTCACATTGTCATAGTTGAGAGAATACAGCTCGGTAGCCTAGCATGTTATCTTCAAATATCTGAAGGGTTGAAATGTGGAAGAAGAGTTAGTCCATATTGAAAACACTAATGAGCTATGTGCCTACTTTAGTCATTGAAGTAAAAGATGGAGAGGGTTGAAGAGTCTATACACTCAAGGCCAAAGTTACCACCATGCAGAGAAGATGTACAGAGACAGCTTTAACGTAGTGATAATCACTCAATAGTTAGCCTAGAAGGCAAATAGAAAGAGGTAGAACTCAACTTGGTTTGGGATAGCCTTTCCTATAATCAAAACTTCCCAGATAGAATAAGCTGCCTTAGAAACTACTTACCAATCATTTCATACAACTGTTAGCACCAAGTGGAAGAGATTCTTGATTTGAATGGTGGTAGAACACATGACTTTCCTAAGGCCCTTTCTACCTCTGTTAGTATATAGTTCCAAGACCACCACCTTGTTTTTCTTTGCTTGTTGTTGCTAATTAAATGCCTATGGGTTTTGTGTGGTACCCTGGGAAGACCACATGTGGAAGCTGACTAATCACCAGGGACTTGAATTGTCATTTGTCTTTTGGAAATACAAGATCCAATAGGCAGGAACCAGGTGTTTTTCTTATTTATAGAAAGTAGAATCGGGAAGCATGGTTGGCAGTTACAGTCCTATTGATGGTTGCTTCTTTCATTGGATGGCTTGCATTTGGATGCCAGGGTTAATGCTGTTCTGAGTTACACAACATTTGATGTCACTGGACAAGTTATCTCGAGAAAAACACATTACCCAGAGAAAGACAAATTCCTAGTTTATCCTATTTCATGGCAAAACTTGGAAATAATTCTGATCGCCACTAATGTCATAACTCTTAACCCTAGAGACCCTGTGTGTCACATGCAGAAACCATAGCACTTCTTATAGCTTCTCCTCATAGCCTTTGAGGCCATGTCCTGACAGTTCCATTCGGGCCCTGCCTCCTTTCTGCTTCTGCACATGCCATGGACAGCCTCCTCCCTTTCGCCCCCCCACCCCCATCTGTGAATATGATGGACAGGAAGGGAGCAGGGCCTTGCTTTCTCCACGAGCACATGGGTGAGAAAGGCAGGTGCTGTCTAGATTTGGCATTTTTTTCCCAATTGCAGCATGTTTGACCCTACTTTTAGTTCTTTGTGCCATCCCTTCTTCTTGCCCAAGATAATGAGAAAAACCAACTGAAGTGGGAACGAAAGACAAGGTACTGCCAGTTGAGAGAACAGAATTGCTACTTGTCCCCCCAATTATGCGATGTAGGCAGACAGTTCTTTCTAAGATGCGTGGATAAAATGTGAAACCCCACAGCTGTGGTGGCCCCCAGGCCGTGTGGACATTGCAGTTGTCCTGGCAGATGCTCAGTCTTTCCTTCTAGGAATTTTCTCTCCTGGGTAAGTGAGTCCAGGCAGCCCCCGGCCATCAGAGAGCTTTGCAAGGTCATCTGCCTACTGCCCCACAATTCTGGAACTGCTACAGTAATAGAGGCAGAGAATACAGGTTCTTAATCCCAATAGCCAGTAAATTTTCCCTGGAGGCTTAAGAAAAAGTTCATGCATACTTTTTTAAGATACTTTATTGATCCGAATACCATGCAGCCTGCCCCTTTAGAATGAACAGTGAGCGTTCTAGGCTTTCCTACATTCCCAGATTTGTATAATTATTCCTGCAATTTTAGGGCATTTCAACTTTCCACATCTCTCCAGCTCCCTCAGCCCTGGAGGAGGTTGGAATGGCAATCAATCATGACTTGACTTTCTATTGATTTGCTCCTTTAAAGACATTTCCTATAAATAGAATCATCCATCAAGTGGTCTTTCTGGATTAATTTCTTCTACTTAGCATAATGTTTTCAAGGTTGGTACCTGTCAGGGCACAAATCAAAACTTTGTTCCTTTTTATTGCCAAATAATATTCCATTGTATGAATATATTTTATTTTGTTCGTGCCTTCCCCAGTTGATCCGCATTTGGGTTGATTCTCGTATGGGGCTTTTATTACTAAATAATTATACTGTTGGTGAACAATGGATATATATTTTTTTATGTAGACATCTGCTTTTATTCCCCTTGGGTATAGACCCAGAACTTCTGGGTCATGTGGTAACTTTAGATCTTTTTTTTTTTTTTTTTTGAAAGACAGCCAGACACTTTCCGAAGCAGCTGCACCATTTTACAGAGATGTTTCACAAAGCAATTTCATCCCCATCCCCATGGTGGTTCTTAGTGTAATTCTAATGTGTTGCCAGAATGGCTTATTGTCCTGGCTCTGTTTCATCTGGGAATAGAATCACTGCAGAATAGATACCAGAAAGGATTGTACCTGAAGGAAAGAGTATTTGTGCAGCAGATCAACCACTTTTTCCAAATTATTCTTTGAACACTCTACATTCCCCCGGTCTTACTAGTTGGTCCCAAGTTCACCTGAGCACCAACTAGGGGACCAATGAGTCTTATGCTGGAGGATGATGACCTGGCATAGTTTGGCTACAAAGAGTTAAGTTGATTGGGAAAGCTGATCTGCAGGTTAAGTGGAACAAGGCTGCAGCTTTGTTCCCCCCCCCCCCCCCCAAGACGTGACATCTCTTCTTGTAAGTTTCATCACTTTCTTGGTGCTATCTGGTAACATGTGAGTCATGAGGTGCCGACAACAATCCAACGCATTTCATACTCAGCTCCAGGCATTCTGCTCATTCCTGAGATATCCGTGGCTGTCAGCCCACCATTCAAATGGTAAACAACTCGCTGTGGATGAAATCTGCCACTGGGGCTTTTCTCAGCGTGTCTGAGTGAGACCCAGATCCACACAAGGAGCCTGCCAGAATCGAAGGGTGAGGGATGGCCTCGTGGTGAGGACAGGAGTGTTGGACAGACTAGCCTCCTGGAGGGAAGCAAAGACCAACTATTCTCATGCTGTGGACTTTTAAAAGAGTTTTCTTGACAGTTAGCATTTCTCAAAGGTGGGTCCATGAGCTAACCTGAACGTCAGCTTCCCTTTTCTGTGTTTGCAGCCATGGCACAGGGTACGAGAGTGAGAGCCACACCACACCTATCCTCTGTGGGGCTCAGTACAGAATACATACCCATGGCGTGTTCCGAGGCATTCAGGTGAGTACTGGAGGACCAGACTGGAAGCTGCCTTCACTGCCTCTTTCCCTGCTCAAGTGTCCTGCAGTTCCTGGCTTAATGGATCATCTGGCCTGGACAAATTTTTGTACTCACTGGGGCTGGTCAGGTACCTCCTCTTTGCTAAGAAATGCCATCTCCTGCTGACTGGGACCAAGATGCTTCCCCATTCTCACCTCCTTTGCTGCTTAAATCCTTCTCCAGGGTGGGCTCTTGTACAATGGAGACCCATTTCTAAGATCTGGGCTGCACTGTAAACGGCTCAGAGGTCATCTGTCAGTGGTCTTGCCAAATGTTGATAAGAGCAATCACTGCAGTACACCTATGGCTGGACATTTCCCATGTGTTGCTTTATACGTGGACTCACAGAAATGGACTTTATCTGAGTTTTAAGTTTACATAAAAATCTCACAGAAAGAACAGAGAGTTCCCTTTCGCCCTCACAGTTTTCCCCATTAGTAACATTTTGTATTGGGTATAAGACATTTTATAATTAATGATCCAATGCGGATACATTACTGGTAACTACAGACCGTGGTTTATATGAGGGTTCACTCTTTGTGTTTTATAGTTATAAATGTCTAATGCCATGTATCTCAGTATGGTATCATGTGAAACAGGTTTATCACCTCAAAAACACTCAATACTCCACCCGTTCATTACAATCCTTTCTGTTCCTTCTTCTCCTGATAACCACGACCTTTTCTCAGGATGTCATGTAGTTGGAAACATATTTATGTAGCTTCATTTCTAGATTGGCTTTTTCCATTTAGCCCTGTGCATTTCAGATTCCTATATGTTTACACGTGGCCCTCATTTAATCCTCAGTACACACTTTGAGGTGGGTACTGTTGTCAGTTCCATTTAACATATGAGAAAACAGAAGCCTACAGCAGATGATTGATTTTTCCCAAGTCACTATAGCTAGTCATGGAACCAAGACTGACCTAAAATACATGTTGTGTCTGAGTCTAGAACCCCTGTTTTTTTTTTTTTCTGTTGTGGGGCTTGAACTCTGGGCCTGGGTGCTATCCCTTAGCTCTTCAGCTCAAGGCTAGCTCTCTACCATTGAGCCACAGCACCACTTCTGACTTTTTCTGTTTATGTGGTACTGAGGAATGGAACCCAGGGCCTCATGCATGCAAGTCAAGCACTCTACCACTGAGCCAACTTTGCAGCCCATAGAACCCCTGTTTTTTATGATTACATAGTGCTGCTTCTTAGGGAGACAGAGACTGTGAGCAGCTTGGAGGAGGGAGAAGTCTTCAGGGAGAGTAAAGAAAATAAAACAGAAAAGGTGATAATTTCAGAGAACTCAGTACAAATGGTGGAAGACCACTTCCAAAGAGCCTCTTTGAGACCATCCATGATTACCAGTGATTCACATTTGTTGGCTCAGTGGCTGCAGTAAGCATAACAGCTGTGCTACCATCATCGATATAGAATGGCCTAGAAATAAGTTGTTTGTGGGCCATGCTCCAATGTGGGCAAGTAGCTCTGAACTGTCCTGATTAGTTTCCAGAACTGTCATGAAATTGTATTCCCTCAGGTTGAAATAATAGCACAGGTGTCAGAAACACAGAGATCTGATGAAGATCCACAAAGGTGTCAGTATTCTCCCCCACAGATACCGCCAGCATCCATCATTTCACCCGGACTCTGACTGACATCAAGAACTCATTTTTTAAATGTCCTATTCCCACATGTCCTGCATTTTGAATAATGAAAGGAATTGCAAAAAGATGTCCTTGCCTTCCTGCCCACCAGACCCCATTTGTCAGATCCTCTGTCATTGCCTGTAATAAACTCTGACTTAGTGTTTCACTATCTGCTGATTTCCTCTGGAGTTCACCAATCAAACTGCTGGCCTGCCATTTTATTTGTCCTGGGACACTGACCCATTGACACAATGTTGTATGTCATTATACTATAGCACTTTTTGCAAAAATGGAAGTGCAAGGCAATGTGAAATAGCAGAGAGAACATTAGCATGAATAGAGTGGAAAACATATGAGGCAGGGATTGGTTAAGCTCAGAAGTGTTCTAGTCTTGATGCAAACATGGATGAGCCCTTGACATGCCCATCTGTGACTGGACAGGGAAGCTCTGTGGCCCTTTAGGGTACTTACCTTCCAAAATGTGCATGACTCACTGAACCTAAGGACGTGAAGGACAGCTTTTCTCTCCTACTAGGTAAAAAAGTTGTCAATCTAGGCCCTGTAAAGGACACAAAGGATGTAAGGGCAATCTGGCTGTGACATCTGTTATCCTATTGATTGCCAGGGTTGATTCGGCTGATCTGGCTGGCTAGGCCGGTGTCCCCTTCCTCCCTCACCGCTCTATGTGTGTCCCTCCCAAAGCTGTGCACTCGGTGAAAGAGGACGGCCATCCCCGATAGAGGAGGAGGTCTTGGGTCAAGGGTATAGGAGTAGCTGCGCTGCCCTGCTAGAACCTCCAAACAAGCTTGTAAGGAAAGGACACAGAAGTACTCAGAAGGCAGAGTCCAGTGTTCTCTGGGGTTTTAAAAAGGGTTTTCTGGCTACACATGGTGGTGCTGGTGGGTTCAGCTTCCCTTCACAGACAAGGGACATCCAATTCAGGGGCACCTTTGTCATCATTTGTTTACCTATGGAAGACTGGATCAGTTTAAGGCTTGTTGAATAGCTCACTTCCCCCCCCCCCCCTCTAATAAGACTTTCCCTACTCATTTGCAGATTAAACACAAGGTCACAGGATCAGTTGGGAAAGAGTAGATCTAATCTGGGACTCTAGACCCTAGACCTTACTGTCTTGAGGGCAGATACAGAGACACTGGATGGATTGGGAGCTCCTTCAGGCACCAACATCAATGTCAGAGACCTCAAACAAGCTGCACTTCAATTCTCAGTTCTGTTAAATCAGTAATGATGACATTAGAATTCTGTATCACAGCATGTCTTGATCTGTTATCCATTAGTGATGTCTGTCACAGGCATCTGGGGGTGTGGATGGAAGTGGTTTTAGATCTCCTTCCTGTAGTGGTATTACAAGGGCACTTTCCCTTGGGACTGAATCGTATGTTCATCGTGGCTTAAAATCTCTGTGCCTCTTACACTCTCAGGATGTGCGGCGTGTGCCTGGAGTAGCCCCAACTCTTGTCCGGTCAGCATCTGAAACCAGTGAGAAACGCCCCTTCATGTGTGCTTATCCGGGCTGCAATAAGAGATATTTTAAGCTGTCCCACCTACAGATGCACAGCCGGAAGCACACTGGTAAGTATGTCCAAGTTAGCTTTGAGCAAGAGGACAGCTTCATGCGGTGACTAATGTCATCATCATCATCAATAATAATTATTATTGCTGACTTGCATGCTGGGAAGCTGAAGGACTTGGCTCAATCATTGCACGTGGAGGATGCAATTCTGGCAGACTTGAGTTTATACACAGTGGGCCACAGACTGAGGCTAAAATGAGAACATTGGTGGCACGTTCTAGTTACACTTATTTTCACAAGGTTGTAAGGAAAATGGTAGAATTCTGCCTGGAAACGGGAGTGGGAATGTGTGAAGGCAATATGGGTGTAGAAACTTTTCCTAAGAAAGAGACACTTACAGATCAGTAAGAATTAGATGACTGATTAAAGGCTGAAAACAAGGTAGCCAAGACCCTGAGATCGCTGGAGGTTAAGAAAGTTCTTGCAGGAGACAAAGCTACACAGGTTGGTATTTAACCTCACTATAGCCACCCCCGAAAGAGTGCAGTGTTTTCAATTGCATTTATAATAATAGGACAGAGTAGCATAACAACTGGGCTACCTGAATATATTATTTCAGTTAATTATCAAGCAGGGAGGAGGCGGTGGAAGCTAGACTCAAACGTCTGCCTTTTCACTCTTTCTCAAAGAGTGTCCAGTCCACTTGGGAGCTGGGATAGACACACCTGAAAAGTGGGGAGAGAAAAAAGCAAAGTGTAAGCTTGTGTACTAAATGAGAGCCTGGAGTCGTACAGGACTTAGAATGGACTTGGGAGTGAGTAGTTTGGGGCTATTGGCTTCAGAGAATGTTTCTGGGAGCAGGAAGGGCGTGGACTAACTATCAAAGCTAATGAGGTCAGGCAGAAGAAGGAAAGAATGACCAGAAGATCAACAGCAAGTGCGAGAAATAGGATTTAAGAGGGGTATTGTCTCCTTTGGGCTATGGAGGTGAGGTAGAAGACACTGGGCTGGGTATAAATCCAAAGCTAAGAAAAGACTCTAGGATTTTTTCAGACCACAGACTGAGACTATGGCTTATTATCTTAGTTGTTATGGGATCAGTCCTTTGATGAAGGAAGGAAGGAAGGGAGGAAGGAAGGAAGGAAGGAAGGAAGAAATTTTGACTTTATCATGAGATTGTCAAGCAGGCATTGAAGAGAATGTGCAGGTTCACTCTTTGATGGATAGGTATGTGGGTATAGGGATGGAGTACACTGAGTGTGTGCGAAGTACAAGATTGTTGAAGTCCTCTATAGCAGGAGTACAGAAGAACCAGGGAGACATCAGAGATTGGAGGCAAAAGTCAGTAGGGCTGCCTGGAAAGACTTATAGACCCTCCCCCTGCCCCCTCCCCCCAACCAGGTAGCTTCCACTCCATCCCAGAAGGTTGTGACATAGAATTCTCCTAAGAGGAGAGAGGTCCTGCAGTTGCTTAGTGCACTCAGGACTCAGTTCACAATGTTTGGCTGAACTTTCTCTGTGGAGGGCAGGGGTGTGGCTATCCATTAGAGGAAGGGATTGAGCAATTCCACTGCTGGCCGCTCTTGGATAAATTTAATTTATTGGTTTAATTGAAGCATCTCACAACCCTGGAGTCATTTATGCTTGACTCAAGAACATGAAGTCAATAGCATAGAACATGGAATCTTTGGGCCATAAAACTCAGAACACTTGTTCATGGGCCCTGCCTCAAGGCACATCCATTCTGGAATTCTGCCTTGGACTCCATCTAGGACTTTAAGGTTCTTTGGTTTTGATTTGTCTAAAGATTTACCACTCATGTTTAATTAATTTTTTTTTTTACCTCTGTTAGGCATTAGCCCGAGCCTTGTACATGGGTGGCCTAATTTAATCTATTCATAAATTCTTTGACGTCGTCAGATTATTGACCCCATTTCACAACGTGGAAGCCACTTCACAAGGTGTTGTAAGTGGCAGAGCTGGTTAGGGCCGGTTCTTACCCAGCCCAGAGTCCACGTGTATGTGCACAGCTGGGTCTTTTCTTGCCCAGAAAGTGCACAATGCTATCCTCAGAAGCTGCCTGCTGACTCCCAAGTCACTCAAAGTGTTTTGGAATCCCTTCAACCCCAATAGTTGCCGTTCCTGAGCTTGCATTTCTAGGATTGTACTCAAATAGAATATGTGTCTTCCTCAAGGTGAGAAACCCTACCAGTGTGACTTCAAGGACTGTGAGCGAAGGTTTTCTCGTTCAGACCAGCTCAAAAGACATCAAAGGAGACATACAGGTTTGTAGGTTCACTTCTCATTGCTGGCAGTCACATGCCCTTGGGTTAGGGCTGATTTTTTTTTTTTTTTTCAGTTCTCTTCCTTATTGAATGTGGATGAGAGAATATCATCTATTTAGTCTTTCGAGTTTACTTTTCTCTCCTCACCTGGAGACTTTTCTTTTCTCATAAAAGAAAAGAAAAAGAAAAGGAAAGTTAGGAAACAATCTACATTTTTCCTGTAAACAAATGAGATTCCCACTGCAAGTGGCTGTTGATAACACCAGACATAAGTGAAGAACCAAGAGTAGTAGAGGACAGAATTGGACTTGTAGAGTTTGATTCACTGTTTTTAGTCTCTGTTCTAGCTGAGACCTAGGCTCAGGTAAATAAAACAAAACAAAACCCTTGGATATTTGTGGTTAAGAAATGGTTGTTTCCAAAGACAGACGCAAGTCCTCGAGGTCACTGTGCAGAGTCAGGGAGTTCCTGCTGGGCCTGGGGAATTGGGAACCTCTGAGGACCAGGTAGATACCAACAGGTGTGGCTGGAAATGCCGAGGGTCCTCCAGCTACCACAGAGCCAACCTGGTGGGCCTCCCTGTGCCCACATTGTTAGGGCCGAGGCTAGACCTTCTCTGTCCGTTTAGGTGTGAAACCATTCCAGTGTAAAACTTGTCAGCGAAAGTTCTCCCGGTCCGACCACCTGAAGACCCACACCAGGACTCATACAGGTAAAACAAGTGCGTAAACTTTTCTTCACATTTATTTTTCATTATTTTTTTTAAGAACTACTATTGATTAAAGTTGTTTGTGATGAGAGAGACTAGAAGAAAATGGTGTGAACAGTTCTAAGGTGTAGATTCATTTGAGCGAAAGAATAGTGCATGATTATCTTCAAATATACGTAGTAAAGTTTTGCAAAGGAGGGTGGAGGGAGTACTAAGCAGGAGAGAGACGAGAAGGAAATGTCCAGAATGAAACTGCAAAGCTGGGTCCCTACTACCCCCAGGTGGTCACCTCACATTTTTATCACTCGTGTGATACGATAATTAACCTTAACAACCATCCCCCTCCCCCGCCGCCAGCCCAGAAATTGTAGCGAGCCCAGCATTTATTTTCCTGAGGACCCATATTTTACAACCGTGTTTAGAGAGTGAATTCCAAAAGTTAATGTTTGAGAACAGTCTTGGTTTCTGCCAGAGTAACACACACATACACGCACAGGCATTATTTCCTTTGCACTATTATACACAGTGGAATAGGATTTTCACAGATCCATTGGCTGCTTATTCTCTAAAAGGCTGGTGTCATTCATAATGAAAATAGCACCATCTTTGTTGGGTATTGACTGCTCTTGGAAGCAGAGACACTGCTTAGATTATTTCATTTTGTCTTTGACATTTTTTGTAAGTAGTGTAGGCATGCTTTTATCTTCATTGTACAGATGTGGAGTCTGAGGCCAGTAGTGGCCAAATGGCTTGTCTGAAAAGTCACAAAGGTAGTGAGTGGCACACTGTACACCTTTGGTTGATTTGTTGGGAAAACCATGACTTCGCAAAGCAGTGCAGGGAGAAAGAAAAAGGAGGAGAGAGTTACAGTCAGTGAAGTTGAGTGCTACTAAGGGATGGAGAAGAAAGAGGACCATTGAGATAAAGGGGTGGTGAGAGTGGGGAGAGGGGCCAGATGAGGAAGGGAAGAGGGACAATGACCAGGAGGCGAAGAGAAACATGACATTATAAGCTCTCAGGCAGTCCCAGATCCTTGCTCATTTAAAGACAGAGTCAAGGCAACTGTGTTTAAGCATTGTCAGATGGGTGTCTTGCTCTCCTCCCTTAGCTAACAGGGTGATGGGAAAGTGTTGTTCCTGTACAACTCATTCCCTGCTTATGTCCAGAGTGACCCGGGTCACTAGCAAACTGTTTGATGCTATATTTGACCAGCCCCCAGCCCGTCCCCAGGACACCACATCTTCCTGAACATTTCTCAGCCTGTGCCCTGACCAGTTGTCAGAGAAAGTTAAATGGGACCAGCACTGAGTGTCCTGGGAACATACTCTGATTTGGCTCCTGGGGTGTTTTCCTCAGGATAGCCCAAGAGAAGCGTGGACTTTAGAATTAGACAAGCTTGGACTTGAGTCCTACCTTTGTCCTCACCAGACATCCAACCTCATCTGTAGAATGGAGATAGCCTTTTCTCTTTTGAGCTATTATAAGGAATACACGAAGCAACACATGCTGTGATATCCAGTACAGTATAAGATGGCATAAAATTAGGCTAGTTATTATCCCTAATGAGGGCTCTTTAAATGGAGGAGCCTGGATTTTTTTTTTTTTTTAGCAGAACCATACCTCCACAAAAATTTTCCATGTAACAGATGATTCGCAGAGGCACACTTTATGGCAATATCATATACACTGGTATCTGTAACTTATTTGAAAATATCTGCATGGAGCTAGTAAAGCTAGTTGCAGCTCTACTGCTGGACAGGGATTGATTAGGAATAGCCAGAATGCTGACCTAGAATTCCCCACTTAGACAGCACTGAGGTAACGTCTACAATCCCCCAAACATTCTAACAGTAGATCGAAACACATAGTTTCTCCTTTAATTTTTTTCCACACAGCTCCATGAACTAGATTTATTCCTTCTCTCCCATTCCCCAAGTCTTCTGATTTAATGTTTTATAATTCTTATAAGAGTCCTATTATTAGAACCCTTCCCACCCCTCCAAAGGTGCCACCCCAGGCTGCCCAGGCTAATAATCCACTTGTTAGCTTAGGGGAGAGACCTATAGGAATCTGAGGCAAGAGCCTGTGATGATTTAACAGGGGCCTTTGCTAGTTAAACTTGGGCCCGGTCACTCCATTACAAATATCTCTGACTAGCAATTGTGTCAACAGGTGAGAAGCCCTTCAGCTGTCGGTGGCCCAGTTGTCAGAAAAAGTTTGCCCGGTCAGATGAATTAGTCCGTCATCACAACATGCACCAGAGAAACATGACCAAACTCCAGCTGGCACTTTGAAGGGCGCAACTTGGGGACAGTTTGGTGTCCCAGGCAGGACTGTGTGTGAACTACTTTCAAATCTGGTCTTTGAAGAAAGTGGCCCTTGACCTTCACCCAACCTCCAAGACAAGACACGACCGGTACCACTGGATTCTACCAGGTTTGCCTAGAGGAGTTGATCTCTGATCTGCCAACTTGTAATTGACTCACAGGCCTGGAAAAGTGGCTGACAAGTGTCTGGTTAGTTAACAGCCCATGGCCCTTGGGTTTCGATTCTCCATTGTAAGAAAAAAACAAAGAAAACATTGTTAATAAGGTCCCCTTAACTTCCTCTTCTTCCTTTATACTCATTTTTACTAGAAATGAAGTGATGGCGCAATTGCCATCACAGGATGTTTATAGGTAGAAGATGTGCATGTGCGTCTGCTAACGTAAACTTTGTCATGGTTGCCATTTACTAACGGCTCTGGTAAGAAATAAATCAGAGAGGGAGGCATTGAGGGGACAAGTCTCATCTAACATTGAAGTGGGCTGCTAACCTGGAAGGCAGGATGTGAGTGCCACCAAGTGACATTCAACACTCGAAAGTCATGCATTTCAAATCACTGAACAAAGAATTGGAACTAACCAGTACCTCTGTATAGAAATCGAGAAGAATCTTACTGTTTTGTTAATTCAATGTTAATATTAACATGATGCTCTTAAGAAACCGTGTTTGAAGTCCTGAGATTTTTGTGGGTTTGATTTTTTTTTTTGACTTGTAATTAGGCGCATCTTTCTTTCTTTCCTTTCTTTCTTTCTTTCTTTTTTAATGGTCTGAGACCAGGACTTGAACTTGGTACCTGATGCTTTTGCTCAGTGGATAATAATGCTCCACCAACTGAGCCATGCCTCCAAACCCAAGGCACATTTTTTCAGAGATGTGTTTTTCTCCTTATACAGGAGATGTAGAATTTATTTGTATCACTTGGGTGTCTTCAAATACACAGACCACACTAGTTATGTGTCTTCAACTTGTAAAAAGTAAAGTGTCTTTAAAAGAAAATAGGGGCTGGTCCAGGATCTTCACTGATAAGACTGTCCTTAAGTAACTTAAGTAACTTTGGTTCTGTAAGTATATGTGGGAAAAAATAAGATCTATTATTGTGAAGGAAATCCATTGTTTAAAGATGATTGTGTGTGTGTATGTATGTGTATGAGTGCATTTTGTTTTTTTTTTAAGGGAGGGAGTTTATTATTTACTGTTGCTTGAAATTGCTATGTAAATATCTGTATCTGAATATGATTTTTCTCTTTGACAACTAAAATTAGGGAATGTTTAAATATTAGATGCATCACTGTCTGGATGTTAATCTTACAGTGTATTGATAATAACACAACAAAAATGTAACCTGCATTTTTTCACTTTGCTCTCCATTAAAGTCTGTTGAAAAAAGGAAGTGGCAAGATTCTATTAGCTCTATTTCATTCAGGTTTGAAGGCCAGTTAAAGCTATTTTATTTATTCGTTTGTTTCTATGTTTGAACTTAGGGCCTGGGTCTGTCATCCCTGGACATTTCTCCTCAAGGCTAGTGCTCTACCACTTGAAACACAGCTTCACTTTTGTTTTTTGTTTTTGTTTTTGTTTGTCTTGATTGGACATAAAGAGTCTCAAAGACTTTACTTCCCAGGTTGGCTTTGAATTAGGATCCTCAGAATTTAGCTAGGACTACAGTTGTTATTCATCAGTATCCAGCTAAACCTCATTTAAACAGATAAAAAAGATGCCTCTGATCCCAATAGCTACTCGTGAACCCATCCAGGTCCTGATCATAATTTAGTTTGCTGTGTTAGACCTCAGGTGGGAACTGTGTTCTAGAAGCAGAAGGGGACACCTCCACCTTGCATAAGAGGTGATTATACGCAAACTGTGGTTGGATGGGAGTGTGGATGGTGTGGTGGGAATTGAGATCTATGGCGTATGTTAATTGGATCATCATTGTATCACTCCTAATTTGACACCAGCAAAAAAGAGAATAAAGAGGTGTTAATAATAACTGGTCTTTTTGGAAAGTACTGGTCCATTCCTAAGATCAGGAGGCCTATAAGCTAACCACCTAATACAACTGAATTTACAACTGTATTCTCCATAAATTATCTTAGCAGGTGGAAAACAGCTTAGACTTCCCAGAACAGCTCAGTGTGAAGGCAAAGATCTACATTATCTATAAGCTGTAAACTCTCTTCATGGTTCTGGTACATGGTTTTCCATTGTAAATAAAGAGATACATTTGGTGTGGCTTGCTCAGCTTCATTATCTTGGAGCTAGCATGCTTTCTAAATTTCATGTTTGCATTTAAAAGTGCTTTGAGGTGGCAGAAGCTTAGTCATGGAGATTCTTTCAGCGCTGAAAGGCAGCTCAAAGTTAGGGAAGACTAAAAGCTGCGTCTCCAGGCCCCTCTATTCTGCATCTGGCTCTTGCATCACTGTTAATTATAGCAAGTGTGTGACTCATGCCTATCAGTTGTTTTTATCTTTTCCTGCCAGAAGACAACATTTCTCTGGAGAAGCTCAGCAAGTCAGAGAGAGCAGGTTTCACAGCTACCCCGGTTCCCATTTTGCTCAAGGAAGGCCAGGGATAGGGATTTTGACTACCTCAGCAGTGTAGCTTGCAGTGAATGTCACAGACTTTGGAAAGGAAAGCAACCTGGATTCAAATCCCAAGTCCCCAGTTTCCTCATCTAGGAAATAAGGACAAGAGCCCCTTTTGGCTGGGGTAAGGATTAAATGAAAACTAACTAGCAAACATGTGTAAGAATTTTCTAGGGAATCTATTACACATGAACTCACCCATTAATTTATTTTCCCTAATTCTTCTTGCTTGCAGTGTCTAGTCATCTTTGCAGATCAGTTCCACAAAAATGACAGAATATCCATTTTCCTGTGTCTCCATCTGGAGGGAAGTTTGCAGTAATTGGGCTTCTTGCCAGCCTTTCCACAAAGACCTCTGTTTGCTTTGTGTATTTTGTAAAGCAGCCCATGAATATTGACTGTCTCTGAGACCCATGGTGTTGACATTCAGCAGACTCCTTCAGGAGTTAGTTGATATCCACTGGGCAATGGAAGCTCCTTGTGGCCCAGACTACTGGCTGTATTGATGCCATGGTTGAATTGCATATTTTCCATTCTGCTTTACTCCACTGCCTGGTTTAGTAGACATCTCTATACGTCTGCCTCCCCAGACTCTTCTGCTAGATCTTCCTAGACTGTCCAGCCATTCAGAATTCTCTCATATATGAACTTCTCTAACATTCAGAGTTTCTACCATTAAACAGTGACTTCTACCAGTATACTGCTTTCTTGCATTCTCTATGTTTTCTATAAGGAAGACAAAGCAAGTGTTGTCTCCACTTTCAAGATGAGGATGTTGAGCTCAGTAGAGTGAGTAAATGGCTGAGGCAGGACTTGGTTTTGAATATATGTTTCCTAGAGGAATATGTTTGATGATGGTGTATTCTATAAATCACATCTTCCCAACCAGCTTGTGGACCTCAAGACTCCAGAATTGGGCTGGGAAAGTGGCTCAGTGGTAGAGCGCTTGCCTTGTATGCCAGAGGCTCTGGGTTCGATTCCTCAGCACCACATAAGCAAAAAGAAAAAAGCCGGAAGTGGTGCTGTGGCTCAAGTGGTAGAGCGCTAGCCTTGAGCTGAAGAGCTGAGGGACAGCGCCCAGGCCCAGAGTTCAGGCCCCATGACCGGATCTCCCCCCCCAAAAAAAGACTCCAGAATCTTGTTCCTTTGCTGTTATTCACAATATGACGTCTCAGCTCTAGTGTCCCTAGTCATTTGGAAATTTTGCTAAGGTATAGACGCAGATATGGAAGTTACATGACAAGGTCTGAACATTTGCATTCAACCACCCTCCTGCCTGATTCCCATCCTGTGGGGCTCTGGACAACACTGGATGTAGCAAGGACCAATAAGGTTGGCTCAATGAATTATAGAATTACAGACTTGAGCCTGGCACAAGTAGCTTATGTCTATAATCCTGGTTACTCAAGAGGCTGAGATCTGAAGGTTGCAGTTCAAAGACATCCTGGGCAAGAGAGTCTGTGCAACTCTTATTTCTAATTAACAAGCAAAAAGCTGAAAGTGGCACTGTGGCTCAAATGGTAGAGCACCAACATTGAGTGAAAAACCTAAAGGGCAGTACCCAGGTCCTGAGTTCAAGGCTTCGTGCTGGAACAAAAACTAAAATTAAAAAAAAATAAAAAAATACTGAAAAGTGACCAATGACCTTTACACTTGACTATCTTGGGATGGCAATGAACCCTAACCCTGCTGGCCCTTGATAATGGCCATGAAGGTGTCCCAGCGCCCTGCTGTGGTAGCACACGGGGCTATGGACATTGCTGCAGAATGTGGCCAGTGGAACTGGTACATTAACTTGGGTGAAGCCATCTATAAAGAGGTTACTTTACAAGCACAGTCATTTCTTTGCTATTGATGGATTTTCTCAAGCAGGAGGGACTTCCTTAGTTAGGATCACCTGCCGCAGAGGTCCATATCTAATGTGGAGGGCCTCAACTGTGTATCCACAGTTGTACCTCACTCAGTTGCTCATTTTGGCAATCGATCTCTGCCTCCATGACACCCCATATGCCACATCTGCAAACTAAAATTCTATGGGTTTGGATGTCAGTGGTTTCCAGTTGAGGGAGTCACTTTCACCAGGCAGAATTATCACCAAGTAAGGAGGAGTACTACTCTTGACTGGCCTAAGAATTTCTGTCTAGTCCCTCTTTAGTCTACTTTTCTGAGTTAACTGATGCTTGGAAGGCATTTTGCTTTGAAATTGAAACAGGCAGGGTAGTGGAGCTTGTAGGACTTTCTCAGAAGTGAATGCATAAAGAAAACAAATCCTGATGAAAACAAGAAGGTCTTGGGTGTTTTTACTCATGTCTTTGCTTCTAGTAAGCATATTATTTCATCAAGTGATTAAGATCGGCATAAGCAATTTTTGGTAGACTCTTCCAAGTGAATCTACAAATACCTATTTGCATGATGGCAGTCATAGCTGGTTGGATTTCTATCGTCTTCAGATGCCATGCTGAGAAAACAGATGCTTCACTGGAAGGCTCTGCGCTTTTCTCCATCTCGAGTCTTGTGAAGGAGATAGAGGTAGAAAGCAAAGAAGAGCCAAATCTCAGAAAGCTGGAAAGCCCTGGGCCAATCTACTGACAGCCTTACACAGGCAAGGCCCGTGTCCAAGTCTTCCACAAATTCCTGTATAGGGGGCTGAGTTTTAGGGAGGACAAGGACATTCTTGAAGACAACTCAGTATAGCTTGAAAATTAGGCCTCAGACAGATCACAGACAACTGGCTGCAGCTAACAGACCAAATTAGCAAGTGAATATTGAAGAGACATCTAGAGCTGTGTCTGGAGCAGGGGACGGCTATGGGATGCCGCAGCAGGAGGTTGGGATCAGGCTGGGATAAGTGCAGTGGGGAGCGGGGGGGGGGGGGGGGGGGGGGGGGGCGGGGTTGGAACAAGTGGCTTTCCCTTCTTGCATTTTCCCAGGAGCATTGGTAATGCCCACAGTGGTTGAGAAGGATGGATTGGTGCGGGGGTACTCGGAGGCCCACTGAGAGGGCCATGGGACTCCACAAGAAAGACGGAGGGGTGGAAGGAGGAAGTCTGGGAAGAAAGATGACACAGATGAGCAATGAAGTGAGGATGTCAGGGAGCTCTGACAGGAAGAGGGGGCTTCTGTCTAGCAGGGCCTGACTCCCACATGAACCTGCACCAGCATTATTTACACC